TAGTTTGCGTGGAAGGTAAGATTTATGTGATGGTATATTCTTCTTTCAGGGCAGTGGTTCGCCTACATCTAGAGCTTGTCTTTGTTCACACTCGAATGGGCGTCAGGCTATTGAATTTTGCTACCCATTCGTGTCAAACTTCAATGCTCTTATGGTGAGTGTCCGGAGGAAGGCACAGGTAATATAAGAACGGTATTACCTTTATGCATTTATAATGAAGTCCTGCTAACTTGTGATTCCTTTTTTTGCTGCATCTGAAAAAGACCGCATGCTTCTCAGGTTTGAAATCATGGACAAGCCATTATCACTCACTTAAACGAGTCACAAAATCGTACATTGGAGATGGATGTATACTGACTAAATAAAACACAAAACCTCATTTCAGAGACCTCGTAAATAATTTCATATTATCCTGTAGGACCATGAGGGTTACGGGGCCCTCCCGGTTCACCTGGACCTACTGGTCCCCCGGGCCCTTCCGGACCAAGTGGTAAAAGAGGAAGAAAGGGAACCGCGGGTCCCCCTGGACCCCAGGGAAAACGAGGCAGCAGAGGATTACCAGGACCCCCCGGACCTGTAGGCCCGTCTGGTAAATCAACACAACGTGAAGCAAGTCCTAGGAATGGACGTCAGTTAGGTAAGATCATTTGTCCCGGAGATAAAGCTGTAGTGTAGTGTGATGATTATGCAATTGCATACCTATTGTTTTTTTTTTCAGAGTCACCGCACTTTATTGCAAAGCCCTCTCCTTCCGTGACGGTGAAAGAGAAACAAAACGTGATATTACCCTGCAAAGCAGCTGGATTCCCTCCGCCGGTGATCACGTGGTATAAGGATGGTCGCGTGATGAAAGAAGAAAGAAAACAGTTTAAGAAAAGAAATTTGGAAATAAAGAACATTTCGTTTGAAGATAATGGCATCTACACTTGCACAGCGGAGAATCTGTTGGGCAGAGTTCAGTTATCAGTTAATGTAACTGTGAAAGGTACNAAGAAAACTTCTCACCCTCGTTGGACCCCTGCATGTCTGAATACCTCAATGTCAAGTCAGATTTAATTCGTGACAAGGGTTCATCTTACTGGTCAGCTTCTACAAAACGCTTATATGTAACCTGATAACGCCGTCACAAGGACACCTGAACTTTCTTGATTTTGGTTTGCTCCCTGCTTGTCCTTGTGTCTTTTATTGACAGAGGCATTTAGACAGAGAAAAACAGTTCTTTCAAGTCTCTGTTGCAAAACTGGAAGTCAGTTTATTTACACCGATCACAGAGTCTCCGTTGAAAAATTAAATATAAAAAAGAAACATAAATAAATAAATAAATAAATAAATGAAATAGAAAAAAAATAAGAATTGCTCATTATTATTAAACGAGGAGATTAGAACAACGCATGACCAAACCTTTCATTGTGATAATCTTAATTCCGTTGATTATTTTTTTGGTTCTATTTCCAGTACCAACAAAATTCGTGACAAAACCAAGGAAATCAGTAACCGCTTACAAGTCATGGGACACAGCCCTTAAATGTGATATCTTTGGCTATCCCTTCCCAGTGATCACGTGGTCAAGATCACTCAAGTAACTTCCGATCAACAGGCATGTCATTGATGGTAACAAACTCACGATTAAAAACACAACCGAGGATGATGATGGTGCATACGTTTGCCAGGGAGCTAATGAACTGGGGAGTGTGATGGCAGTGATATGGATTTTTGTAAAGAATGTCGGTAAGCTGAAAATCTAAAAACTATGCATCAATTATTGGGAACGAAAGCGCATNTCAACAATTGCCAAGATATTGTCATGGCATTTTCGCCAGCTGTTGAAGGTTGTTTGCTTAAAAAAGGCTTGCAAAAGGGGGGTCATGGGCAACGCAGGACCCCCCCTAGCTACGCCCCTGTGTGACGCCATGTATCGCGTGTGAGAAAGCAAGAGTAAATTAGAGCTCTTTTAGTGGTTATTTATAGAGCTTTTTTGTCATATTTTTTGGCCAAAGGCTTAAACAGATGTTAGAACAGAGTTTAAAACTATTGCCATTTATACCGAAGTGATTTAACGATTTCAAGTGCTGAAGTGGTTTTCGTTTCTTCTTAGGGTTACTTGCGTCATTTTTGCGTACACGATTAATACTGACGTCTAGCAGACAATGGTTGCGCGACTGCGGTAAAAATTTAAAACAAATCTATTGACTGGAAAATTTTCGCGCGAACGTCCTTAAATAGTACTTGAAGCTGCTGCCGATGAACCCAATGAATTCACTTCTGCCAATGCGGGCAATATGCGATCAGATTTGCTTTATAAATTGATAAAACCTTTGATTGCCAAAAACATGTTCCGAAGGTGGTCGAACGTCGAGCGTTGGTAAATCTTATCTTACCTTTGAAAACTTTCAGGCCAAATTTCGTAACCTCCTTTATATTTTCTGGTACAGCATCTGCTTATATTCTCAGAATTTCCGATTCATAAACTCTGAGAAAATGGGAGTTTACGCCGACTATTTTGTATTTGTTTAATAAAGCATTTTACACTGGGTAGGGTAGTACTCATTTTCCTGAGATAGTGAACCAATCGGATTGCTTGAAACATCAAGATCACTGAATATGTATATAGGTATGATAATTATAGGGACACGTAAAATGCCGTCATTTCATCAACGTCCATATAGTAAATTTGTTTCGTTATCAAGCAATGCAACTATACGTATTCTGGATTCTAGTTAGCCCCCCACGATTTCTTTAAAGATAGATTTCCTTTAAGATAGATTAATTTTAATGTTGTTAAAATGCCCGTATTTTGTTAATTTTTGTTTTTAAGTTTTAGTCAATTGCGGCGATCCTGGTTCTCCATTAAACGGTCAAAAACGCGGCTCACAATNATTATAGGGACACGTAAAATGCCGTCATTTCATCAACGTCCATATAGTAAATTTGTTTCGTTATCAAGCAGTGCAACTATACGTATTTTGGATTTTAGTTAGCCCCCTACGATTTCTTTAAAGATAGATTTCTTTAAAGATAGATTAATTTCAATGTTGTTAAAATGCCTGTATTCTGTTAATTTAAGTCTTAGTCAATTGCGGCGATCCTGGTTCTCCATTAAACGGTCGTGTCGTTCATTTGTCATCCGGGATATCGCTTGATTGGACCGGCCACTAGAGTGTGTTTGCCTTCCGGTAACTGGAGTGGTGTACAGCCTTCATGTAAGTAACTTGATTCCATACCTTATTATGCCAAGCAGTTGGGCTTTACTTTTAGCCGAAGGATTCCTGTTGAAGTACGACTGCCAAATTTATTCTCACAATCTTGGATACAGGGGCCCTATAACCTGCGTTAAAAAAATAAATAAATAAATAAATAAATAAATAAATAAACGGCAACAAAAACAACAACAAAGAAAACAAAACAACCAAGACGTGACGGAGGATGAAGAGTTGACTTTGCTCACATTGTTGTGTTTAGTAAATATTAATCTTGTTTGCTACCCTGGTATAAATGTAGGCTTCAAAGCTTGTCCTCCTTTGGGAAACCTGAAGCACGGTCTTGTCCACGGACAGCAGTATTGGGAAAGAAAACATATTTCCTTCTCTTGCAATCCTGGTTACTGGCTAAAAGGATCCACAGAACGTTACTGCTTGATGAATGGTACTTGGTCAGGAGTTCAACCTTCATGTATTGGTAAGAGGGATTGATGATGGTATTTGTCAAAAAAATAAAAATAAAAAATAAATGTAAACATTTGCAAGCGTTGCTTGTACGTTTCTCACCTTTTCTTAGATTTCACCTTAATTTTTTGACGAGATGGACGTAATTAGGAGGTCAAATTAACGTAGATCTAATAAACTCAATTGCAATCGTTGTGGGCTGACTCCACGTTTGTTCGCTCGATGATGACGTTGATGGAACACTTTGTTCACATGATCNGGTGTACAGCCTTCATGTAAGTAACTTGATTCCATACCTTATTATGCCAAGCAGTTGGGCTTTACTTTTAACCAAAGGATTTCTGTTGAAGTACGACTGCCAAATTTATTCTCGCAATCTTGGATACAGGGGCCCTATAACCTGCGTTAAAAAATAAATAAATAAATAAATAAATAGATAAATAAACGGCAACAAAAACAACCACAAAGAAAACAAAACAAGCAAGACGTGACGGAGGATGAAGAGTTGACTTTGCTCACATTGTTTTGTTTGAGTAAATATTAATCTTGTTTGCTACCCCGGTATAAATGTAGGCTTCAAAAGTTGTCCTCCTTTGGGAAACCTGAAGCACGGTCTTGTCCACGGACAGCAGTATTGGGAAGGAAAACATATT